GTTTAGTATGCATGATGTTTGCGTTTCACCTGTAGATAAGTGTAGTTTCATGTTGGACGATGATACTCTCTCCTAGACAAAAGAGAAAAGATTCCCACTGATATCATTCTCTTATTAGAGACAATGTCGTCAAACAGAAAGAGATATGTGAATATTTTCATTTTCGTTCATCTACATTTAGGATATTTGTTAAAGTGCTCTCCCTCTTCTGAATATAAAAATGCAACTAAAACGATATTTTCGTTGGAAAATAGTGACCCTCATTATAAAGTTGCGTCCCTTTCTGCTTTAGTTTTATCTCGTTACTTCGTACGTATTGCTATAGAGAAAAGTCCAATTGAGACGTGAGCCGTTAAGGTATTGTATAAAGATAGAATTCATCTGGTGAATGCATTTTCAATTTGATTTCAATCGTTAGGCATTCGAGAGCGTTTACTTTAATTTACATTTCGAGTATAAGAATAAACCATATCAAGGACGTTTGTTTCGTCGATGAAAAATAATGCAAATCGGAATTCGAGGTTATGAAGCAAGTATAACTTGCAATGTCTGAGAAGTAACTTCCACTGATGTAGAATCACAATCTTTTTCTTACAAACTCGATCAGATCAGATGATATACATTCTATAGATAAGTCCGATCTCAGAGGAACGTCGTCTTTCCATTGAAATAGACAGATTCTTAGATATTATATATAAACGAAAAATAAAATAGCTTGTTCATGATTCTCTTCATGTCTACAGAAAGTGACACTTTTTTTTTATAGTGGATCCCTCATCAGAAATACAAAGCAATAACGTTCACCAAGTAATCGTGAAATAGCGACATTTCTAGTAATAGCGTTTGATTGAAAATAGTGAAGGATGTCCGACGATGATGAAATGGTTACGGTAGGTAATTTTCCTGAAAGAAGAAATTGAACACATTTTACTGTTGTCTCTAGCGAATTCTCACAGGAAAGCCTGTCGACAATACCACGAAACGTGAAAAGCGCATGAAACAGATCAGAAAACATTATAGCGAACAAAAAAGCAGTCGCGTGGTTAAGGTCAAGACACAAAATGTTGTTATCATTGGTCGATCGCGAACTGGAAAATCAACTATCAAATCTATGTTAATTGATCCGACTGCGGAACCAAAAGATTTATCGCTCAGGGCAGGCACTATAGACGCGTCAATGGAGTCATTTTTTGTTGATGACCAAAATCTAGTTTTGAATATCATTGATACACCTGGTGTATATGAACATCAATCCGCAGAAGCCATAGTACGTGACAATCAAAAGATTATGGAAGCTATTGAAAAATGTATCAATCTTGAAATTACGAAATACCATCTGATCTGCTTTGCTTTCTCGATGCCAGCAGGAATTCAATCGGATGATATTGATGCTTTGCAATTATTTATGGATCATCTTGGTCCTGATGTCTCACAAAATTCATGTCTGATTATCACACGTGCCGAAGCCAAAACATCCGACCAACGAGAGAAACTACGACAAGAACTTCTCAATGACAGTCATTTCAAGAAGATGAATAATTATTTTAAACGTGGCATTTTTTTTACTGGAGCAATCAATTATGATGATTATCAAAATGGAAATGCATCCATCGTCGAACAGTACATGAACGTTCTTGAGTTTCGCAAACAACTAATTAATGAGTTCGTAAAGGATTGTGAACCATTTCAAATCGATAAAACGTATGTCAACGAAATGCGACGTATTCAGGAAGAATATGAAGCAAAAGAGAAAGAGTTAAAGTCTCGATTGGCCGAAAATAATCAAAACGCCGAACAACGAAAAGAACTAGAAAGAGTGAAGAAAGAACTAGATGAAGCGAAAAAGCGCCTTGCTGGTTCAAAAACCCCATGCTCAATTTCGTAATCCTATTAATTAATAAAATATTGATTTATAGATCAAATATCTTTTGTTGAAAATATTATTTTGTCATTATTTTAGATCATTCGGGTCGATAAAATGTCGGCTACTTCGTTGCAAAAGGAAAGAATAACTGAGTCAATCAAGAATAATTATCAAAGCTTGGAAAATCGGAAGCAAATTCTAGGCGACAGAAACGTTGTTGAAAGGAATATTTTGTTACTTGGACGGTCGAAAAGTGGCAAGACGACATTAAAACAAATGATTAAAGATCCAACTTTGGTCTCTCATGAGTCAAATCTACTATCAGACTCCGATACTATTGAAATAGAAACAATGGAACTTGAAAAGTCAAATCTTTCACTGACGATTGTGGATGCAAATGGTCTATGCGGACGTCCAGAAGATTATGAGAAACTTTCGATGATTCGTCAGGTCACAGCCAAACGTGGTATTGACAATTTTCATTGTATTTGTTATTGCCTGTCGCTAGAAGCTGGTATTCGGCAACAAGACATTGCTGCTGTGAAGAATATTATCAATTGTTACGGGGAGCACATTAAGTCTATATTATGCATGGTCATTACACGATGTGAAGGAAAAGTTGAAGAGCAACGTACTCGAATAAAGGCCGAAATTGAACAGGATTATCTTTTCAAAGATGTTATAAAGCTGTTTGATCAAGGTGTACATTTCTCAGGTTGTCTAAAATATGATGATTGGTATCAAGGAAATGAAGCCCTCTATAATCAATTTTCAACGATTTATGGCTATCGAGAGAAGCTTCTACATCTTTTTCGCAAAAATATCGAACGTGTGTGTATCGAGATTCCATCGAAACCTACTGTTTCCAACTCGACATCTATAGTAACCATTGATGAACGATCAACAAATGGCAGCTATCAACATACGAATGTGGCACAAAACAGGTATATACATGGGATATCTATTCTTTATTATGAGCTTACTGAGCATTGCTTTGAGTTGGCATCAAATCGCCTATTGTGTAAACCTCCGCTAGATCTATTTTCTCTAGGTTTTCTTAAAGAAATGTAAACATATATAAAAAAAACAACAATTCTTTTCATGATGCCTATTTTTTGACATTAAGGGGAAATCGGATCGTGTCATATGAAACGCAGCCTCTTTCTACAACTGCAAACACATACGAAAGATCAAACCAATCATATCATATGGCTATGCATAAAGGAATGACTAGAAAGCGGTTCTTTATTCTTTTAGTTCTACTAATGTTTATTGCCATCGTGATCACAACTGTGATAATTATACTCAAAGTATTATAAAAACATTTCGCGGTACATGCTTTCTTACCAAAAAAATTATAATGACTTGCTGCAATTTACTGCAATATATCATGCATTTCTGTTTACCAACACGTTACATGTGTTGGCATACATCATGTAATATATTTATCATTTTTTTTTTCTATATTGCTCAATTCATATTGATTCTATTCCAGATAATTGTTTGTGTTTCAGTAGGTGTAGGTATTTTATTGTTGGTGTTTTCTGCTTTTGTTTACCTTTGTTGTATTATTATTTGCAAAGCTATTCTACATATGATGGTGGGAATATCATCGATCATCATTCTACAAATGTGGAAGGCTACCGTTCGACAGTTCCAACAATTATTGAATCTGTGACTCAGTCGTCTTCAGAACAGAGAATAGCCTTTCATCAAATTATTCAGCGATTTCTTGAATTTTGTGGCTACTTTTATAATCCATTTGAATAAATAATGATTTTGAATAAGATTTTTCGCACTAGTAACGGAAAATACTAGGGCTATCGTTTTTTTGAAAATCGAACACGAATAAATAGCGCACAAGAACAGATCTTTCTTGTTAGATCAGCGTAGAGAAATAGAAAATTCGTTATTTTTTTGTATCATCATCATCATCAAAGAATCTGATGATATAGTTAAAATTGTTGCAAACAAGATGTTTGTAATTGTGAAGGACACATCTCTGTATAGGGATGATAAGGATATTTGTTTATCAACATTTATGTTGTCAACAAAAGCAAGATTTTATTCAAATTCATGTTCTTCAAGTTTTTTTCATGAAAAAACTATGTTTAGTATGCATGATGTTTGCGTTTCACCTGTAGATAAGTGTAGTTTCATGTTGGACGATGATACTCTCTCCTAGACAAAAGAGAAAAGATTCCCACTGATATTATTCTACCTTGGTAATATTGAAGATCCGTTTGGATTTATTTCTCACCATGTTACATAAAACAAATAATTTCATCTTTTCAAGCGTCAGTATTTGCTAGAACAGATCTTTGTCGTCGACTTTTTTTTTGTTATCTGCTTTTTTTTATCCCAGTGATCCTAGTTTTCCGTTCTCTTCTACCTATCGTCGAGAATTCATTATTGGATGGTAAGTAATCAAGATCTTCTTCCATTCGAAGTATCACAACTTCTGAAAAATTCAGAGATTGGATCTACGGTTTATCAATGACAGTGAAAAGTTTTGGGTTTCTTTCTTTCTTTCAGAGACGGCTCGTCACTTCAAGTATTAAAAACAAAGTTGTCTACTCAGTACGATTAACAAGAAACACGACCTAAAGAAATGTCCGATGTTGATGAAATTGTTGTAAGTATTGCGAATGATATACGAAAATAACTGCAATTTCGTAGACAAGCCTGCTCACACAGTATTCAGACAGAGAAAAAAAACGGGAAAAGCATATGAAAAAGATCAAGGATTATTGCTTTACTAATCACCTCAACAATATTGTTCCAATCGAAACCAAAAATGTTGTAATTATTGGTCGAAGAAACGTAGGGAAATCTACGATAAAGCGGATGCTGGTAAGCCCGATGGATGAACCACACGATGTAACACTGAGACCGATGTCTGAAGATCCTTCATTAGAATCGTTTTCTATTACTGATAAACAATTAGTTATTAATATCATTGAAATATCATTTGTTCGTGGACGTCCCGATCGAGAAGGCAACTTAGAATCTGATAACCAAGCAGTCAACAGAGTGCTTGAGAGATGCATTAGTCTCGACATTACCAAGTTTCATTTGATTTGTTTTACTTTTTCGATTACAGCCGGAATCCGGTCGGATGATATTGATGTCTTGCAATTATTTATCAAGTGTGTGGGTCCTGAACTTTCACGAAACTCATGTTTGATTATCACACATGCTGAAGCTAAAACAGAAGAACAACGAGATAAACTACGACAAGAGCTTCTCAATGATAGTCATTTCAACAATATTAGTAATTATTTTGAACGTGGTATCTTGTTCGCTGGGTCAATTAATTATGATGATTATCAAGCTGGAAATACATGTATAATTGATCATTTCATGACTATCATCGGATATCGTAAAGAACTGCTCGATGAAATCTGCAAAGACTGCCAACCGTTTCAATTTCATTCATTATCGAGCAGAGAAAACGATGAAACGGAAAAACTACCAAAAGAAGGGCATACGGTAGCAACAGAAAACTCAATACGAAATATGATATCTTGTCCCATATTGTGATGAAAATGTGAATATAAATAAAATTTGCAGAACAAGCGAATCTGTGATTGTTAACACAAAAATCATTGATTGACACCAGTAAATTGAGAATGAGAACTGTTTGAAATAGGGCTGATTTCAAGTATATAAGATGCTATGGTAAAAAGCAATTAAACATTGCTGAAGGGACTTATCGTTAGATCGCCTAACGACTACAGTTCCCACAAATTCTTCGGATTCTTGTAGTAGTGTTGCTACATTGACAGCGTTTGTGACATGTCGAATGGTATAATTTCTCTTCTAATCCGAACCTCTTTTTTAAATCGATCTATAACCTAGACTTTTACCAAAGAACAGTTCAGAGCATTCATTACAGGCCAAGAATCATGTGAATACTAATGAATTGGGATAAGCCATTTCATAAGTTACCGAAGTGTCTGAAATAAGAACTCATTCCAAAACGGAAACATGAAACTTAAGGAAATAAACCAGCGAAGAGTACCCAAAGTTGGAAAAACTTCCCAAAAACAATCATTTTCTTGATAAAGGAGGAGAGGTAAAAATGATGCCAGATAGATAATAGTAATTGAAATATTATTTCGAAATCTACAACTAGGATATATTCTGACACCACAGCTAGTACGCCTTATATTCACATTGATTGCCCGTTTATTAACAATTCGCACCGTCTAATCGATAAGCCTTTTCGTGAGGATTATTAATGGAAAAGATCAAGGAACGAATATCGGTCCGTGATAGCTTACAGTATTTATGTATATCCCGATTTGAAGAAGAAGATAGAACATAAATCGTCTTTGCTTACTCCTTTCAAAAGAAGTAAAACGAAACTGAGGAGATCAAGTTAATAAAAACATTGAAAGTCCATGAATAAAATCCGAAAATGAGCTATGGCTAAGTGAAATAATTCATTATTCAAAAATGGTCACTTCTCAATTATGTGTTCTTTTGTTTCATTCCTTATCCCTATTTGTGTGAATACTATTGAACGAAAACAACGGAAAGTCCTGAATTAAAATGTTTCGTTTATACCGTACCAGAAACCACTAGTATCTAATGATCCATGCATATAAATAATATCACCATTGTCGGTCTGAAGTAAGGATATTATCAGTATTTATCCTCAACAAAGCAAAGACGACATAAGATCTTACACTCGTTGCAATATACACAATGTCGACGAACAGTTGTAGCTATCTTCTACTGTGCCTATTTCGCTATTACCATTCGCTTCAGTTATCTACATCCATCAAACAGTCCAATCCACATAACACAATATAAGAATCACTTGATCGGTCATGGTCGATCTTAGCAATATGACCTATATTCGAAAGACAAAGAGAAAACAAGATCAACATAGACTATCACATTCTAGAGACCAAAGCTACCCTAAAAAAGATTTTCCGATTCATTTTCAATATACTCCACAATACTCAAAAATCATCTTAAATCATATTGGAATATCATTCTGAACAAATTACAATCTATGGATATATTATCTTCCAACATCGACTGATACTTCTAACACAATACGTATTGCCTATTCCCGCAAAATCAATCAATAATATCAACAAGTATCAACACATACTACAAATTCATACTAACCCTTAAAAAGACACCATTCCCAGAGTCTACAAATATCCATACTTCAACAATTAAGCAGAAAAACGTACACGCCAATCTATTCCGCAGAAATCCACAACACTCAAAAAGTCATATAAATTCCTTGACAACAAATACATTTTCACACTACGAACATATATCTAGCCGCACAAGGTTTCTGAAAATCCTACCATACCTGACCACAAAACCATCAAATATCCCATCATCATGAACCTTTCCCACTGCAACAAAACCTACAGCACAATAACTGCCCTTAAACAACCAAGACATTCATCAAACACCCTAGGATCGAGTACTACTAACACAACGCCCATAATGTGCAATCAATCATTCAACACAAGCCACGAAAATCCTCCCAGCATCCACCCAACCCGATCAATTCACACCATCCCAATTTTACCCAATTCAAGTCAAGACTTACCCAAAGGAGAAGAAATTCCACCCAAACCTCATTGAATTTTACCCAAATCTACACTTAACGAGGCAACACCCTCCGTAGCACCCTCACATTGTGATATACCCCCTGCATTCTACAC